AGGGCTGGGGGCGGTGGAGACAAGGCCAGGCGGGGCAGTTGGACGGCCTGCAGGGCTGGAGGGGGCGAGGACTCACGCTCCTTGGGTGGCGGGCAGCCCCCTTCCTGGGGAGTACAGGAGGGCCGGGCCCAGGGCTCCGGGCTGCTGGATCCCCCCTTGCTGTGGGCTGGTGTATCTGTGGGGAGAGAGGTGCAGGTAAGGTGTGCATGACCCCACAACGCTGTCTTGATTTCCCCTTTCCGCCTCCCACCCACCTTGGCCCCAGAGCCATCTTTTTAAAACCTAAGTCAGATGGTGCCTGGGAGCAGAAGCCCCATGAGCGGTCAGTCTTTGCATCCAGGGGAAAGAGTCCACATATTTAATAACCTGGTAGCCATTGCCAGCCATACTGCAAACAGGGTCCTGCAGGTCCATTACTGAGCCAGGCAGAGACAATGTTCTAGAAGGCTCTGAACTATTTGGACACTGCCCCCCACACACCTCTCAGGCCGCATTGCTGGATCCTGGGAAGGTCTGGGAGGCCTGAGAGAGAGGTGGGGTGCCTGGGGCAGCAGGGGGGACTTCTGAAGGCTGGGAGCAGGGGCTCTCTCCAACCAGATGGCAGGATTTCAGTGTCATCTCTGGTCTGCTGGGCTTCTCCGTCTGCTCTCAGCCAGGATCTCATTCATGCTCATGAACTTGAACACAGTCAGCATGCAGAGGCTCCCAGATTTCCCAGCCCGGCCTGAACCTCTCCCTCCAGCTGTGTACTCGGCATACGCCCTCAATCGTCTACAAATACCTCAAACTCACGTGCTGAGAGCTGAGTTCCTGGTGCTCCCCCAACCCCCTCCTCCCTCAGCCAACCTCATCCTTCCAGCTGCATCAGCCAAAAACTTGCACTCTTGCACTATGCATGTACAAATACTGTTGGCTCTGCTCAAACTAACCCAACATCCAGCCTCTCCTGTCCACCTCCACGGCCCCCACCCTGGTCCAACCACCATCATCTCCCCCCTGGACTGTTGCCTCCACCCTGGGCTCCCAGTCTCCACCCCTGCCCCCTACAGTCTGTTCTCCACCAGAGCCTCGAGGGTCTAACTCAAATACATGTCAGTTATGCTACAGGAAAGAAGCTACTCACAAGGGACCACATAGCATATAATCCATTTTTATGAAATGTCCAAAAGAGGTGAATCTACAGAGATGGAAAGTAGATTAGCGGTTGTCTAGGGCTGAGTGGGGATGGGGGATAAGAAGGGGGTGATGGCTCAGAAGTGCAGGGTTTTTCTTTTGGAGTGATGAAAAAGTTCTAGAATTGATTGTGGTGATGGCTGCACGACTCTGTGAATATACAGTACTAAAAGCCACTGAACTGTACACTTTCAGTGGGTGAGTTGTAATGGGAATTCTGTCTCAATAAAGGTGTTAAAAAAAATGTCGGATGTTGTTTTTCTCTGCTCAAAGCCTTCCTGTGGCTCTCGTCTCAGAGTAAAAGCAAAGTCTTCGAGGGCACCCAGGCTCTGCAGGATCTCCCCCCACTGCCTCCCTGATCTCATCTCCCACCCCTCCCTTGCCCTCTCTCTCTCGCTCATTCACTTGGCTCCAGCCACAATGGCCTTCTTGTTGGTCCTCGAACACATCAGGCCTGCTCCTGCCTCCGGGCCTTTGCACTTGCTGTTTCTTCAGCCTGGAAAGGTCTTTCCCTGGACACCTCCCTGGCTCTCTCCCTCACCTCCTCAGGCCTTTGCTTCAACCCATCCTCCTTGGGAAGACCTTCCTCAACCCTGTGTCTAAAGGAGCTCCCAGCCCTGTTCTCTCCTCCCTTCTAACCCTCCCTGATTTCTCTGATAGCACTATCTCCACCTGGCATGGGCTCACTCTGTGTCTGCTGTCTGTCTGTCTCCTCCTCCTGATGGCAGCCCTCTTTGTTTTGTTCACTGCTGTCTACCCAGCACCTAGAACCATGTCCATCCACCACAACATATTTTTTTTTTCTTTTTGCTGAGGAAGATTGGCCCTAGGCTAACATCCGTGCCCATCTTTCTCTACTTTATACGTGGGACGCCTGCCACAGCATGGCCTAATGAGCGGTGTGTAGGTCCACTCCTGGGATCTGAACCTGTGAACCCCAGGCCGCCAGAGTGGAGTGTGAAAACTTAACCACTATGCCATTGTGCCGGCCCCACAACATCTTTTCTTTAATGAGAAAACAACTGCGGCTTCCAAGGATGGGGCCCCAGCTCCTTGCAGCAACCCTCCCGCAGTGCCCACAGGGGCCAGTCCAGCCTCTCCTAGGGCCACCGGGCTTCAGCTCTTGCTTCTCTCTGTCCCGCTTTCTTGCCTCAGGGCCAGTGCACATGCTGTTCCCTCTTCTGTCTCCAAAACAGCCAGCGACCTCCAGCCTAGTGGGGAGGGGGGGGCCCGGGGCCAGCCGGGTGGGGGAAGTGGGGGAGGCTGGGAGAGACGATAATCAGAGCTAAGAGCTGTTGGACACTTTCCTGGCCAGGCCCTGGGCGAAGCGGCTAAGCTCTCCTCCTACCTCATTTCACGGAGTCCTCCCAGCCATTCTCATTATTACCCCATTTCACAGACTAGGTGACTCCAGGCCTAGAGAGGAGTCACAGAGCTGGTAAATGGCAGAAGAACTTGAACCCAGGCAGGCTCACAGCCCATGCTTTTAACCCTTCCTCAGGCAGGCACTGTGGGCTGGAGGGTGGCGAGTCTCCCTCCTAAGGGGCATGAGAACTGCAGCCACTCGGAAATATGGCTTTTCTAGTCTACTGAGTAAAAGGAACGGAGACTAGCCCAGGCTTCACACTCACAGGGCTCACAGGGCTCAGGGAGGGACCATTACTAGAGTTAAAATCATTTATTTGCAACCTTTGGGCCTCAGTTTCCCCACCTGTAAACAGGTGTGTGTGTGTGTGTGTGTGTGTGTGTGTGTGTGTGTGTGTGTGCATATGACTAAGTAACCCAACCACAGAACATCTCCCTGAGGACCATTGTACAGATTCATTCAGTCACCACAGCCACAGGGCTTAGGCCAGTGCCTGGCACACAGTAAATTCTCAATGTTGTTATTGTTATTGTTCTTTCAAATATCAAGTCAGAGATAAATGGGCCTTAGCATTCCCTCCAGTGTCAACGAAGACACTTCAGGCTGCCTCAGGCCCTGTTCCAGCCCTTCAATCCAGGCAGTTCCTCTTTTATGAGTTCTACACAGTGGGTAATCTCTGTGTGAGACTCTAATAAAGAATGCTTTAAGCACATTCCTACCTCAGTGCCTTTGCACGTGCTGTTTCCTCTTGCTAGAGTGCTCCTCCCCCAGACATCCACTTGGCTCAATCTCTCTATTCAGGTTTCTGCTCAAATCTCACCTCCTCACAGAAGCCCTCCTGACTACGCCGTCTTTTTCTCCACAGTATTCCCAGCATCTACAACAGTGCCTGCCTCAGATTAGGTGCTCAATAAATATCTGCTGAATGAATGAATGAATAAAAGAGTTGCAAGCTTTTGAAAAAATAAGTTTGCCATCTCTGCTTTGGTTCAATGGAGCCATTTCACAGATAGAAACACTGAGGATTGACTCACATGGACAATAAGGGTCTCAAGTGATTGTGTTTCTCTCCTGCTTAAGACACTTTCACACTTCCCAAATGCCCTTGAGATAAAGTTCCAAATCTTGACCTTCACGTACAAACCACGTGTGAGCTAATTCTGACATACCCATGAACTCTCAGTCAACGTTAATTGTTGTTGTTATTGCCAGGCAACCTAGCCCAGTGATTAAATAATGTGCACGGACTGGGAGTTGGACAACATCTGTATTCCAGTCCCAACTTTACTATTTACTTGCTGTGTGACCTCAGCTGGGTGAATGAACCTCTCTGAATCACACGATCCTGAACTGCCTTGTCTGATCATGTCCATCTCCCTCCCTTTCTCAAAACCCTTCAGCGGCTCCCCATAGCACTTAGGATAAAATTCAAACTCCTCACCTCAGCCTAAAAGCCCTGCATGGTCTGGCTTTTGCAGCCTCTCTAACTTCATCTCAAAATATTTCCTTTCTTCAAACTTGCCACTCTCCCTTTGCCTCCTCCCCCAACTAGGAAACTTTTCTGTTTCCTAAACTGGCCAAGCTTCTTGCCTCCAAGCAACTGCACATGTTGTTCCTTCCACCAGGAACACTATCCAGGTTCTTCTTCATCCTCACTCTGCATCTCGGCTCTGATGTCTCCTCTTCCAGGAAGCCCTCCCTGACCTCCCAACCTGGGTCAGGTGCCCCCTCTGGACTCGCACAGCCCAGCCCTGCACACTCTGAGTCCTCTCTGTCTACACATGGGTCTATCACCCCACTGGACTGTGAGTTCCAGGAGGACAGGGCTGAGGATGTCTCAGTCACCACTGTGTCCCCAACACTGCCCTGCACAGGGCAAGTGCCTGGGGAATAGCTGTAGCAAAAATAATAATCCAGAGTCAAGGCTAAGTGGGCAGTCTTTGGCCTCAGCTCTCGATACCTCCTCTACTCAGGACATGACCTTGGCAAAGTAACCAAACCTCTCTGAGTCTTTGACTTACAAAATGGCAAAATAGTTCGCACCTCACAACAGAGATAATTACACCAACTGGTAACAACCAGCAGTACTAAGCAACTTAAGCATATTAACTCATTTAGTCTTCGCAGCAACCCTTTGAAGTGGGGACTATTGTTTATCCCCATTTCACAGATGCGGAAACTGACCTGCAGTTACTTACCCAACACAGCACAGCCGGGTGACAAAGTTGTGACGGGAGCAGAGACAGTGTGCCTCCGGAGTCACTACCCTACACTGTGTTTAACGAAATCCTGCCTGTGCTGACGATCCCAGGTGTGGACCCTGGAGCAGGGCCTCCTAGGTCTAGGTTCCCTTCCTGACTCTGGCAGTGACTAGCTGTGGACCCAACACAAGTCATTTCGCTTTCCGAGCCTCAGTTTCCCCAGGTTTAAAATGGGAATAACAGCACCCACCTCACAGGGTGGTAGTGGGGCTGTGAGAATGTGATGAGCCCAGTAAACGGCTTGAACAGTGCGGGGCACACAACAGACTCTGTGCCCGTCTGCTCTTGCCAAGGGGATGGTGGAGGAACTCACCTGCCCGTCGGTCTTCCCTGCGGTCCTCGGATAACACACAGCGCGGGGCGCAGGCGCTCGGGGCCGGCGGCTGCGAGGAGGCGGCCGCGGGGGGCTGCTCGGCCCCTGCAGCAGCTCCCGGCCCCGCCACGCCGGGCCCCAGGATGGCAAAAATGGTCTCCTCCTCGGCGGAGAAGGCGTCCTCGGCGGTGGGCCCGGCGCCCTGCGTGGAGTGCGGCACGCGGGCGAGCTTCTCCTTGGTGCGGCGCTTGAAGTCGTTCCAGCGCTTCTGCACCTCCTGGCCGGTGCGCTTCCAGCTGGTGATGCCGTTGATCTTGGCGGCGATGCCGTCCCACACACGCCGCCGCTCGGCCACGCTCACCCGACGGCTCTGCGCGCCGTAGAGCTGCGGGTAGTGGGCGCGCACCTCGCGGATCAGGATCTGGTTCTCTTCGAACGAGAAGCGCGGCTTGCGCAGCCGGGTGGTCTCTTCCGTCTCGCCCGCCGCCGCCGAGGCCATGGCGCCCCCCGACGCCGCCGGCCGGCCGCCTGGCGCATGGGGGGCGCCGGCGCTGCGGGCACAGGGCGCACGGCGCTGGCGGGGGCTCGGCGTCCCCGCGCCGCCCGCCCCACCCGGCCGCCCCGACACCGACTCCCGTGTCCCCGGGGCCAGGGGTGGGGGCGGAGGGCGGACGGGGGCGGCGGGCCGCGGGGGGCAGTCCGACTGCCTAAGAACAGCTGACGCCGGCCGAGCGCTCGTCCTGCGCCTCGCGCGGCGCAAAGTGCCACGCCGAGGAGTTGACGGCAATCGGGGGAGGGTCTGGACGGGTGGAGGGAAAAGCGGAAGAAGAGGGGGTGTCTGCAGGAGTTAGAGGAGAACGGGGGCATGGGAGAATGGGAAATGGAAGGAGAACGGGGGTGTCTCGGGGGTCGAAGCAGCATGGGGTAACGGGGGTAAGGAGATGCTGAAAACGAGATGCAGCAAGAAGGGGGGGATCGGGAGCAGAGGAGCGCTCTGGGGGATCCCGGGCAATGGGACGTCTGTAGGACCGCTACGAGAAGGGGTCCTCAGAGGGGCCGTGCAAGAACAACCGTGAGATGTGGGCTTCTAGGACAGCGGAGGAGCTGGGACGATCAAATACTAGCGATCAGGGTCTGCGGGGATTGTGGGGGGCTCCGAGGGTTGCCAGGAATGAAGGGCAGCTCAGGGGGTAGTGGGGGTCCCGGATTAGGAGGGGACAACGGAGGCTGTGGGGGACTCCAGGAAGAGTGAGGGTCGCGGAGGGTGGGGACTGGGTCGGGCCGCGGGTCACTCACCGGCGCCGCCGCAACCCCCGCCTTCCCGTTGGTCAAGGATCTGGCTTCTGCGGCCTCTTCCCTCCCACCCCCCTGCTTCTTTGCCTCCCCCCTCTGGGCCCCGCCCCCAGCCGCCCCGCGAGCCATGGCGCAGGCGCACCTAGCGCCAGTCGGCCCCACAACGCCCTTACCGCCTGGGTTTCACGCCCCTCGCAAGGCGCAAGCGCAGAATTGCCCTCCACCGGCCTCCTCGGGCGGGCTGCAGCTGCGCAGGCGCAAGGTTAGCGTTGCGCCTGTTCCCCTCGACTCCTGAAGCCATAACAGCGCACGCGCAAAACTCTATCGAACGCATGCGCGCCGCTCGCTCCCCGCTAGCCGTGGTACCCAGGGCTCGGTGCCTGCGCAGGCGTAGCAATCCTTAAGGAGGAGGGAAAGATGGAGAGAACGCCGGGGCCGAGCGGCGTCCCCGCCTTTCGGACAGTCTTTCAGTCCACCCAGCCCTTTGTGCTGTGTCTCTTTCTCTTGGAGAAAGAGGAGGGAGGCGGCGCTGGAGAGAAGCACTTCGTTTCCATGACAACTGCGTGGGTGGGATGGGGAGGCATAAGAAAACTAGCTGCTGCCCCTGCGCTGGGTTGCTCCGGATCTGCTAACCACCTATTACCCGAAGGGGCGGGGCACCCTGGGGATATTCCGCCTCCTGCTGGTGCAGTAACCATGGCAACCCATCAGCCTTTCAGCCATGCCTGGGGGGCCCCCTGTCCACACATTTACGTCATAGCGCGGGGAGGGAGATCTTGAGTAGGGAGGGTGATCCTGGCACAGGCACGACTGCAAGCAAATGCGTGGAGGCAGGACTGAATCTAGAACACGGGTTGGGTGAACTGGAAGGCAGGATGATGGAGTGAAGTAGGGCCAAGAAATTTGTAGTTTAGCATCCTGCAGAAGTCCTCAAGGTCATTCAGCAAACGATGCTTCATTCATCTTTTCAACAAATAGTTATTGAGCGCCTACACAGTTCCAGATATGTGATTACAAAAGACGAAAATCTATGGAGCTCACTTTTTAGTTGGGAGAATCAGACAATTAGCAAAATAAAGAAGTTATATAAATGAGAAGGTGATAAATATCATGAAGAAAATGGAAGTAGGAAAAGGGATCTGGGAGTATGGTGTTTGTGTGTGTGTGTCTGTAATTTTATTTTCTTTATTTTGTGTGTTTCTGTAATTTTAAAATAAGGTGGCTAGGGGAGGCCTTCCTGAGAAGGTGACATTTGAGTAGAGATGTGAAGGAGATGAGGGAGCAAGTGCAGCCAGAGGTACTAGTGTGCCTGCCATGTTCCAGGAACATGGAGGAGGCCAGTGGGGCTGGAGAGGAGGGAGCCAGAAGGAAGGCAGGGTGGAGAGCCAGATCTGAAGGGCCTTGTGCCTCACTGTAGGGACCTTGACGTGAGAGCCATGGCAGGGCCCTGAGCAGAGGAAGGGCACGATCTGCCTCTGGCGTTAATAGGATTCCTCTGGGTAACTGACTTGAGGGAGCAAAGGGGAAGCTGGGTGCCCACTGAGGAGGCCACTACAGTGGTTCAGATGGTGGTGGCTCCAACCAGGGTGGTAGCTGCGAAGATGAGGTGAAGTGGAATTGGTTATGGGAAGTGAGAGAAAGAGAGAAGTCGAGGATGACTCCAATGTCTTTGGCCAGAGTAATGGGCAGGATGGAGCTTCCAGAAGGAAAGATGGGCAGGGCTGCAAGAGGATCCCAAGTTCAAATTTCCCCAAACTTGAGATGCCCGTTAGTCAACCAAGTACAAATGTCAAGTAGGCAGTTGGATCTTTGAATCTGGACTTCAAGGGAGAGGTTCAGTCTTGAGATATAAATTTAGAAGTTGTCGGTGAATAAATGACCTTTAAGTCCCTAAGACTGGGAGAGGTTAGCAAGGGAGCAAGTGTAGATAGAAGTGAAGTCCATGGTCTGAAGCTGGGGGCACTCCAATGTAGGGGGCTGGGATCAGCAAAGGAGACTGAGGAGGGGCAGTCAGTGAGGTGAGGAGAACCAGGCTGTCTGCTGTCCTGGAGGCCAAGTGAAGGGTGCAGATGAAGGAGGAGGGAAGGATCAATGATGCCACTTGCCCGGAAGCCAAGTCCAATGAAGACTGAGAACTGGCCTCTAGGGCTAGCAAGATGAAAGTCACCAGTAATCCCGAAAAGAGCAGTTTTGTTGTTGTGCTGGGGGCAGTAGCTTGAATGGGAGGCTTCAAGAGAAACTTTGGAGAGAACCAGTGTTGATGATCCTTTCTAGCATAGAAATGAAGTGGTATCTGGAAGGGGGCATGGAATCTCGCGAGATTTAAGATGAGAGCTGTAACAGCATGTTGTGTGCCAGTAGGGATGATCCAGAAGAGGGGAGACTGATGCTGCAGAGGAGAGAGGGAAGAATTCCTGGAGCAACGTCCTTGAGTAGGCACGGTGGCTGGGATCCAGAGCACAAATGGGGGGTGCTCTAAGGAGCATGCGTTGTTCGGTCCCAGTGAACAGGGAGAGAGGGTCTATGGGCACAGAGGCAGGCAGATGGCGAGATGTGGTGTCAGGAACATGTGAACGTTCTCTTCTGGTTCCTTCTGTTGTCTCAGTAGAGTAGGAAGCAAGGTCGGGGTGAGAGGGAAGTGCTGAGGTTAGGGGAGAGTGGGAAGAAAGCATGAAATATGAATGAGTGGCCAAATCACTTGAGGTTATTGGATATGAAATTGAAATGAGCTGAGTCCCCGTGGCTGTGTGTTTTTCTCTGGCCATATTTTTTGGAGTGGGTACAGGGGCAGAGTGGATGGCAAGCTGACTTCACCAGGGCTGGGTTTAGATGAGGTCCCGCCATGTGCCCCATGAAGGGTCAGGGTCCAGGAGTCAGGGGCAGCCTGTGCAGGGCCTTATGGGCAACATTAAGGAGCTCGAATGTGATCCTACAGACAATGGGTTCTGAGCAAAGAAGAGCAGGGTCTGATGTGTGCTTTAGAAAGATCTCCCCGGTGTTTGTATGGAGGGTAGATGGGAGGGGGCAAGGCTATTTGCCAGAGTCAAGGGAGAAATCTGGGGCAGGGGCAAGGAGGGGTTGGGGAGACTGGACCACAGCAGGGATGGTGGGAAGGGTGGAAATGAATTGGAAGACATTCGAGAGGCCGAATGTACAGAGCATGGTGACTGTCAGGTGACACCCAGTCCTCTGGCCCGGGTCCCACTTGGGGATATGGGGTCAGTTAGGATATGATGAGTGTAAGGTGCTCAGTGGATATTATGGGTTGAATGGCGTCCCACCCAAAATTAATATGTTGAAGTCCTAACCCCCACTACTTCGGAATGTGACCTTAGTTGGAAATAGGGTCATTGCAGATGTAATTAGTTAAGATGAGGTCATGCTGGAGTAGTGTGGGCCCTTGATCCAGCATGACTGGTGTCCTTATAAGAAGAGGAGAGAGACACACAGGGGGAAGACAGCTGTGTGAAGACGGAGGCAGGGACTGGTGCTACAAGCTAAGGAAGGCCTGGGGCTGCCAGAAACTGGAAGAGGCCAGGAAGGATCCTCCCCTAGAGCCTTCAGAGGGAGTGTGGCTCTGCCAATAGCCTGATTTCAGATTTCTACCTTCCAGAACTGTGAGAGAATGCATTTCTGTTGTTTTAAGCCACCCAGTTTATGGTACTTTGTTATGGCAGCCCACAGAAATTAATATACTGGGCATTGAGAGAAGGCATCCAGAAGGCTGTTGGTGCCAGAGGAGTCTGGGCTGAGAGGGGAGTTGGGTCTAACTCAAATCTGGAGCTCATGAGAAGGCTGGAGACAGGAAGCCATCACAGAAGTGAGGAGTATGGAACTCTGCAAGTTGGGATGGGTTAATGCAGGAGGACGCAGGAGGTCAGAGGGCAAGGCCCCTGGGATGGGGATGAATTAGGGAAGGCTTTCTTTTTTTTTTGTGAGGAAGATCAGCCCTGAGCTAACATCCGTGCTAATCCTCCTCTTTTTGCTGAGGAAGACCAGCTCTGAGCTAACATCTATTGCCACTCCTCCTCCTTTTTTTCCCTTTTTCTCCCCAAAGCCCCAGTAGATAGCTGTATGTCATAGTTGCACATCCTTCTAGTTGCTGTATGTAGGACGCGGCCTCAGCAAGGCCGGAGAAACGGTGCGTTGGTGCGCACCCGGGACCCGAACCCGGGCCGCCAGCAGCAGAGCGCACGCACTTAACTGCTAAGCCATGGGGCTGGACCTAGGATAGGCTTTCTAAGGGATGCTTTCCAAACTGTGGGTCCTGACCCATTAGTGGGTCCAGAAAAATATTTAGTGGGTTGCAACCAGCATAAAACAA